AAAAATCAACGACTCAAATAATGTTCTTATTGTATGTTTGATTATTGGTCAATTCAACTTAATATTAAAACGAGAATCTCTCATTTGAGCCGAAAATAAATAAATTTGTCTTAGGTACCGCCTATTTGAGCCAAAATAAAAAAGATTTTTCAACAGTATATTTGCACCAAATTGACGTGTAAACATTTTACATTAACGACTTAGTTTAATTCATATACTTTAGTTTATAGATTTTAAAGCTTCGTGTATTATTGGGTAAACAGACTGAAAACCAATTTTTCATCAGCTTCATTATGTTGTACAATGAAGGTATTCCGTTATATGATAACTTTATTCGCAAATCTAAAACCATCGAATACGTCGTATAATTTTGTTTATTTTAAATAGAATAATTAATAAGAATGACATCTACGACAACCTTACGAACTTGACTTATCATATGTTAAAAATAAAGCAATGCAAAATTTAGTTTATTGTAGAAAATTTTCGGAAAAGCTTCCGGTGCGCTGCGTAAACGGTTCAAGTTACCCAAAAAATATAGAGGAAAGAATTATTCCTCTTTAAATGATCTAAAAAAATGTCCGCGACAATATATATCTTTTAAGATTGACTCACAATAACTTTTTTTATGGTAATCAAATTTAGTCAAAATTAATGCATTATTGCCAATTATTTGCCAAACAGTTGTATCAACATAATAAGGACGCTTGAACAATTCCAGGTAGATCTAGAAACAGCGACTTTGTTGTCACCAATACTACTTTAAGTACTTATGCTACGAAAAAAGTATTATCCGAGAACAAATACTGACGTATCTAATCACAAACAACTATAATATTTTTGGTGTATTATTTTACTTGTTTGCATTCTGATCCTTAAGTGCATGATTCCATGATTACAAGTGCATAACAACTTGTATATTTTTAATATAAAGTAAGTTTCATATGCATGCGATTGTTGCTTTATGAGCCACTCCTGCAATATATATTTTTTTTATGTAGGATAAGGTGAACAACAAATGTATAAAGTTGTCAAGTCTCAGTGACCGACATCAATAACCCACAACCCCCTTGTTATTTAATGCATAAAAGAATTATTTCATATTTTTTTTATTTAGGAAAAAACTTGTTATTTTAATGTTGATTGTCGATGTGGAAAAAAATCTTAAACCCAATAGTAATACAATTTACCAAACACAATATTATTTTATTATTATTATTCACCTTATGGGTAGATCCGAATTATTTTATCAATAACATCATCTTCGCGGTATTTTACGGTGTGGTCGTCCGGTGAAGGTTCTTTTATTACGAAGAATATGTCCCGTCCCCCCCCCCCCCCCCATACAATAACCTTGGAAATGACCCGCAGGTGTTCCGATGTCCGTATGTATGGCCAGGGGTTCAGATTTTTATCTATTTGAAACAGATCCGACATCAATGTACCACACGATCCCACAATAACCACTAAACATTTTTATAAATAATATTTATTATATACATTTGTACTTATTATGCATTAGGTATAGAAATCGAATGTTTTCGTAAAACTTACCCTTGGCTGAGCATTAACGAGTTAATAAGTTAAAGTTCAGTTACTTTTAAGCAAGTTAATTGACGAGTTACTATTTTTCAAAGTAACTTCCTACTTAACGAGTTCCATTTTTTGACATGTTATTCAGTAACTTACGAGTACACTAATTATTTTCCTAAACGGCAGATTTAAAATTAATTAAATTTTGTAAAAATTAATTTTATAAAAAAAAATCCGAAGTATATTAATTGATAAATAATAACTTATAAGTTATAATAATAGTTATTATGTTACATATTCACAGAAAATATTATGTAACTATATTATGGACCGAAATGTTAAAGGTTATGTTCTTTGGTATTAAAGACTCATTAGTCATTAGTAGGGCACGGAAGTTCTTGCATTTGCATGTTTTTTTTGGACCGTTAGATTTATTGCTAAGTGAGCTAAAAATTCATTCTAAGACACTACGAAAAACATATCAATAGTTTTTAGTGCATACTTTTGCATATTTAATGATTTTTAGAGTTTAGAGCATATTTCTTAAATTTACATTTTTTTAGAGTATATTTTATAAATTATAATATATGAAGATTTGTAAATAAAAACATTAATAGATTCATTTCATATTGAAATAATTTATTATTTATTCTTGTCGTATTTTTTAAATTTCCATTTGGCATTAAAAACAATGTTTTTCCTCTATTGATTAACATAATGTATAAATATTTATAAATTATGTAACTACAGCTTGCTTTATCTAAAATAGAATATTATATAAATATTAAATAAATATAAAATAGAAATAGCTGCAATAGAAATACGATGATTTTCTATAAATACTTTTCTAGGGAAATAATTCATTGATTATTGTTGATGGGCTGATGGAATTAATAGACCTACTGCCGAGATATTATTGTCAGTTCCAACTTATACGTATTTATTTTATTCAAGGAACATTTTGGAGGCATTTTTATATAATTTTTTTGTTGTTTAAATTATGATTAAAAATTAAAAATCAAAATTATTTTTATTACTTTGTTTTTTCCATATTTATAATTTTATAAAACATTTCTGTAAATGAAAATTGTGTGTAAAAAAATAAAATATAAGTGCATATTTTTAGACCATATTGTACTTTTTAAGTGCATTAAGTTCCGAGTCCTAGTCATTAATAATATTTTTGTTACATAAATACATACTCTGGTTATATAAATACATATAAATCCGAGTCCTACTCATTACCTATAGTAGCGTGGTAGTTCATCGTATTTACTATTTACCTAATTGAGTAAATACCCAGGACGCTGATTAATTTTTATTTTTAATAGACCACCCATTTTTGTTATTCGGTTCCAAAACAGCCCAATTTTGCATAAGTATATTTAATATTTTTCCAACATCAATGATAATTTAAGAATAATATTATGAATAATACTAATTCAACTTACTGGCTACCGTATTAAGAATAAGTAATAACAATATAAAATAACCTAGACTGGCATACCGTCTCCGCTTAGAATCGTTTTTCGTATACAATGATATTATATCTTTGAAATCAAATTTAATACCATCCATTTCAGCGACCTTCTAGACACCTATTGTACAATTGTACAGCAGAGTGACATCCACTCACCAGCTTGTTCTATATTAACTTAACGTGTTAAAAAAAATAGTTAACTTGCCAGGCCTTTAACTTAAAAATCTGGTATTCCAATCATGATATATATTATATTATACAATATTATAAACATACTTTTAAAGTTGCAACTAAACACAAAAATACGTTCATTCAGAAAGTATTTAAAGTATACATTTTAAATACTTTTTGAATTTTACTTATTTGATTGTAAAAATAGGTAAGAAAATCTATTTTATTATTACTAATTATTACTAATTTAAAGTTATGTTGTCACATTTAAGGATCATTCAACTTTAGTATTACCTATTCCATTGTATGCTGAAAATGTATGATAAATAAAAATATGGTATAATATTTTAATTACAAAATACTTTAATATTAATTAGGATCCACGTAGGCATGTGTTGTCACTTTCGCATTTATGATGTTTAAATTTTTACTTTTTAAATTAAAGTCTGCACAATCATAATGTCTAACAAACGTATAATTAGTTGGATTAAAATTAATTAAAATTTCAAAATTTTGTAACAATTAAATATGTTAGGCATTTGTCAATTAATTTTACTTTTTAAATTTATTTTCATATAGATAATCCTATTGCAAAACCTAAAAAAAGTATATATTGAAACTTGTATCTGTTACCTGTGCACTACTACGAATTACTATAACATTTTGACATAATATTTTATAAATTATAACGATGATTGATTACATAGCCTGACAGCTGTACCTTGTACCTATTATTATTACCATACCAGTAAGAGGTGTGAGTTTTAAATTTAAAATTAAGGAACACCAATCATATGAGTTAAGACTTAAAAATCAAACTAATATCTTAAGGGCAGTAAAAAATGTTACATAACAAAGGCGAGAACGCGATGCATACATACAAAGAAGTATGTTAACAAATTATCTACTTTGTAACTCCTTAAAAATATCTTAAATTTGTTGTGAACCTATAAAAAAATAAATACAATACATGCATTTTTTTTTACAGAATGTTTACATTTGCATTTTCTATACACCTTACTATTTAAAAAAATGTTTATATTATATTAGAGCTAATCATAGGCATAAGAAAATTTCAAATGCTTTGAATGTCATTACCGTCAGTTACGTACTTGCATGTATGGTGTGTACCAGTGTAGGTAAAAAAACGCAAGGGAGGAAATAGACTTAAAAATATAGTACTTTGTAGTCTATTTATCTACAGCAATATGAAAAGCTAACAAGTAACAAGTAAATAAATTAATAACACAGCTAGCGTCATATTATGCTTAAAATAAATTATAAAATAATATTAATAAATTAAACTCGTTTAAAATTCGATACACTCATTTGACGTCAACTAATGTAATTAGATAAGTAGTGAAAATTGTAACAATTGAATAAATAAATATAAATGATACCTACATTTCTTTTTTCCTCACCAACTTGACTTTTTAATTGTATCCATAAACTGTGGTGACAGTTAGGGACCCACTCGCCCTGCCACCATTTAATATGAAAGAAATTAAATCCAATACAAATACAATGTGATGATTAATTTTTTATTATGTACAATAGGTACATACTTTTAAATGTATACAAAAATGTTTTTAATTATACATTTCTTAAACAATTTCGATCAAATAATATTCATATTATGTTGATGTAAGGTACACATGTTTGTATATTTTATATTATATTACCATATATTATCATAGTTGAAAACTATAAAAAAAAATTTAACCCTCATTAAAAACGTTGGTGTTATTTTTTATATATAACTATTTTAAATTTAAATGTTTTTGATATAAAAAAAAATCACTTTGTGTTTTGTTACTGTATTTTAGCTATTATATTATTAGATTTAATAAATTCGCGAAAAAAAAGCACTATGATGAGATTTTTCAGTGAACTGAAACTATCAGTTTGATTGACTGATTTACAATAGTATACAACTATGGATTTATTCGTTGCGGGTACTTGGCTTTCTTCCTAATAAGTGAAAGAACATAGACCCATCGGGCCAAGATCGTAACCCCTCGGATAGCAATGGTAGATCATCCCGTCCTAAAAGAGCCGGAAGACTTTCACACTGCCTTACATGAAATCCATCTCCTATTTCTGGTTTGCTAATTACTAACCGTATTACTCTAACATTCATATCGTCATCATCCGTCACATCGTACAGCTGTTGGCAGAACAGAAAAAGACATAATATAGAAGAAAGAAAATTAATTACAATAACTAATATATATTTATATCAATATAAATAAACTTAATAAATCTACCCTCCGATCACAATCCACAATTGTCGATGAAGTTTTGTTTTAAACTTGCATATTTCACAGTAAGATTAAAACTAATATACGACTATAGAGTAACATTAGTATAAAGACGTCGTCGATGAATGACAATTAGTGATACCGCTGATAATTATTTAGTAATTTTAATGATTTCTCCGCTCTATATTTCTTGTTAACGCCCAAGGATAGTTGTAGACTACTGTTTATTGGTTATTAAAAATTTTTAACATAATATATTATATTAATTCATTAGATTTAAAAAGTATATTCCATAATATGTGAATCATCAACCGATAAATAATACCCATTTGGTGAATTTATATAGGTAGGTACACAGGATATAACAGGAAGACCTGACAAAGAAAATAACTTATTTTCTAACAACTACATTTAATTTTTTTTTTATATGTCATATATTGATTAGTGCGCTTTGCATATAATATTAAATATTTTAACACTAAAAAAAAAATTGTATTAAAAAAAATTTTTGAACATTTCCAACATAAAATTTATAAATCTGGTTTTTAGAACGATTTTGTTCGTAAAAACATTTATCTAAGTGAAAGGGTTCATCTTATATGATTTTCTTATATTGTCAAATTTATTTGAAGAAACTCATACAATTTAAGTAATAGTTTTGTAAGCGAGGTCTCGAGCAACTCGTTGTTCGGGGTAACCACGCTTTAAGTGTATTTGACTAAGGACAAGTGGACTGTATGTGTATAATATTAAGTAATATGATGTATTGAAAAATTATAAGAAAGTCAATGTATCTTATAACACACCAAGAATTATAATTGTACGAAATTACAATACAATATTTGAATATTAGAACAAAACTATAACAATTAGTAATAACAAAAATATAATAAACAATTGCTAAATTATTATTATTCTATAACAAATTCTTACCGCGTACTGCGCCACTGCATCAGCCGATAATAATTTTTACGCGGCAACCACTGAACCACCAACGTAAAATAGATGTCACGAAATAATTACGCGGAAATTACCACCGCAATAAAAACACGGTGAATAGCCGCTAGACAGACCCGGTAGCCTGTGTATATAGGGACCACCGTGGATAGGTCAACAGAGGAGAGGGGGGTGTCGCGTCTAGAATATTCGGGTGCTGTCGAGGTGACACGGGCGCAACTATAGAATGATCGAGAATATTTTCGACCATTCCAGAGCTGTACCCAACAAATTTATTAACCTTAAAAAAAATAGATAGATAATAATAGATTTTAACAAGTACCCATTTAAAAATTCTCATAACATATTTTTAAAAAGATTAAGTTTTTTTTAATTTTTCATGTTGTTTACGACTGGATCGTTACTAAATGAAAAAAATGAGAGATTTCAGAAAATTGTAAGAAATAAACTTCAATTCATTTTCTTTCACTGAACATTTTTCGAAAACCAAAATTTACAAATTGGCTTTTTTAAATTTTTTTTAAATGTACATACCTACCTATATTGAATTAATTTTTTTTTATTTTCAGTATTTAAAAATATTTATGGCCTATGGGTACTAAATGTGTAACGCAAGCGTCCGTAAATGATAAAAAAAAATAATAAATATTGATTGAAATAAAATATATTTAATTTGACTGGTCTCCCTGTTATACCTTGCATACACTAAGTCCTCAATAATTTGACTAGGTATGCAAAATTATGAATTCAATTATATTGAGAGGGATGTGTGACGTGTGTGCGCGTATAATTAGCGTTTGCCAGTGGTGTATCTATTGCAATGATTATAATATTTGTGCGTTAGATCTATTTTACGTTTTTAATTATTTCATTAAACTACTCCCTGAACATACTAATTTGCATTTAATGATCTAAGTACACCAATAATAAGTATGATACCACCAACCACCCACTTAACAAAAAAAAATCTATATGTATATATATATTGTGTATAAGAATGATATTCAATCATATGCCCCCCCCCTCTTCACCGTTAGTTGAATAATTAAATTTGCTATACAAATTCGTCTACTACAATAATATATAATATAAAATAACACATAAACATAATATACTCACGGCACATCTGTAGGATTTTGTTGGGATTACATTTATAGAATTAACATCTGCAGTATATTCCAGTAGTGATGTATACTGCCAGCCTTTTAGAATTTCGTCTTTGTTAGTCGGTCTATTTTTTGACAAACACTCGAACATAAAGTGATCCATTTCTGACAGAGCATATAACAAAATATACATGGATATGATGAATGTTTTTGCTAGGGAATAATAAACGGTTGGACCTGGGGTACCGGGGCCCTGCTATTTTAGGGGCCCGTTAAAATTAATTTGTAATTATGTAAATGTTGATAGTTATTTAGATAATTATATACTTATTCTATATATTATAATATTTTATGATTTATATATATATATATATATATATATATATATGTATATATAATTAATGATTTTTGTATATTATACTTCGATTGAAGCGGGTTAACCATTAATTACCTACAAATTATCGTTTATGAGACACCCGTTTGGGTTGTAACTATTTTCGATTAAAATAATCAGATTTATATACCTAGGCCCTAAGCCAGGTGCACTACACTTCGTGATTTACACCGAATCGTAACTCTCAAAATGCTTATAATTCTTGACTTTTAATAATTTATGGTAAATTGTATAATTAGATGTTTTGTGTAAGGCTCATAAAAACATTTAGTATGGGTACCCAACATTTGATGGATAGGGGGGTAGGGGGTGGAAATAAGAGGAATATCAACGATTATGCTATATTCGAGGGAGTTAATAAGGAAACAACCATAGATACTATAATATCGTTTAACATTATACAGGATTATTTTGGTGGTGTTGAAAAAATTGGTACAACTATATCTGTAATCAAAATTGACATAGGCGTTCGCAAGGAGGGGCAGGGTAGAAGTGACCTCTCAAGAATGCTAATTTTTTTTTTCTCTAAATTTAGCATGTACCTATACATAAATTGCTGAGAATTGTAGGTAATCTAGTGTATTGAATAGTGACTGTTATAATAAATTATTTTTAATTATACACATATTGTAACAACTATGCCCCCTACTTTTTATGTAATTAGCATACAATATACATCTGTAAAATTTACAGTGTATTCACTATTCAGTGTATATGCGTATTAATAGTAGTCCTTTCAAAAACTGTCAAAACAAACGTAATCAGCAATACAGCTTGAAATGACATTAAGAAATAACTAGTTTTTTTTCAGTAATACAATTTAACTGTTTTCTATTGAAAATTCAGAAGATACAAGAAATACATAGAATTATATGATATTATTATAATGCATGATATTCTCAGTTTTAGTCGGAGACAGCACTGTAACCACAGGCACAGTGTACGTACCCCCCTCCCCATTGTGAATTTGCATTGTAAAAATAATGATAAACTATACATACGATGAGTGCGGTAACAATTTCCATGTATGTTTCCGGAGGTGCCTATCACGTAGTCTGGATTTTCCACCCACAAATGAAACAGTGGACCAGAACTACTTAGCTTGTCAAATCCTAGGTAGGCGCATCCGTACATTTTTGTCCGAGTTTGTAAAGTCACTAATTCAAATTTATTCTTTTTTCCAACTGGAGGACATAATAAGCCATGGAGACCATGCATAACTGGAACACATAGAAAGACAAATACCATATTTCATTATAAGTGTATTATACTGTTTAAAGTACTAAAAATAAGAAGTATTAAAAATAATATTTACAAATATTAAATTTATTTTAAATTATAATGTATGCAATGTATAATGAATAATAAATTCCTTCTTATTTATTACTAAATAATTATTAGTATCAAATTAGTATTAGAATGTTTGATGCTATAAGAATATTTTTTTGATTTTACTATTTTTTTAAGTTCGGGGTTATTAGAGATTTTATTCTTATTATTTGAATTTTTTTACTATATCATCATAATTAAAATAGATTTCCATTGAACAAGGCTTATTATAACTTTATTGTTGAAATAAAATGTGGGAAGTAAATTTCAGAAAAAGTAAATTTTCGCTATTTTTTATGAATTTCATCAAAATTCTAACATCAGATAATCATAAAAAATGATTATGTAATTAAACTCAACTTTATTTTCAAATTACGTAATTAACAACTTATGTGGAACTTTGTATTACATTTTAAAGTTTTTTGATCAAGTAAAAAATTATTTATCAACTGATTGAAAAATAAATTTTAAAAATTTAAAAAGTCTCATGGCTATAAATAACTCAAATTTTATCATGGTCATAGATACTAACATTTGGTAAAAATGTTTAAGTATCTACAGTTATCAGTTTTTGAGTTACACCTAAACTATATTTAGATAAATTATAATTTAAAAAAATTATACTATTGCGTTCCTCTTCTTCTGGTGTAATCGAGTCTACCGAAACAAAGGAGATGACGGCAAGCAAGATTAATATATTTGTTATGTATTCCATTGTGTTGTGGATCACTCAAAAAAATTAGCTTAATAAAAACAGTAGGTAAAAAAACCAGATTTAAACGGACAGAAGAAACACAAAACGATCGCGAGCAAGACTGTTATGGTCGAGAAAAACTGTGAAGTTAATGGATCGGTCATATACACGAATGACGATAAACTCTCAGCATTCCGTTATATAAGCCATGACTATGGTGGCGGCAGCCGTGTTGATGGTTCCTACCACCAGTTGGGCGTGGAAGGTATTGTGGTATTATTCATATATATTGTATAGGTACACAAACTCGAGACACTTTACTTTGAGATTGAACAATATACATTATACACCACTGATCCACCCATGTGCAAGGAACATCAATCGCAATAAATACAATAATATAAAAAGGTAAATCATACTAAATCGGATTCTACCCATAACAATATATTTTCTCTTCTCATTTTTCTTTAACTTTCCAAGTTTACAACACTTAAGTCGTCGGCGCCACATTGACCGATTGTCCTTCATAAATATATAACGACGGGTTCACCCGGTTTATCCACATTCGTACCTATTGGCTATTTAATAAAGTGTACTTTACTGTATTGTACCAGTGGCTGTAACAAGATTGCGCTTCACAGATTAGCACAAGTGCACGCCATTTTTACGTTTTTTATGTCTTTACCTACAAAAACGCAAAATGACTGCGCTCCATAAAATATGGATGTCCTTCTAACAATTTTCCAGTACACAATTTAAATATAAAGTCGGAGTGGTAAACTCAAAGTTGAAGTTAAAAGTTCGAGTATTGAGCTATTATACCTATTTACATAGTATTATAAACATTTTTCATATTTTTTGTCGTTACGTATTTTCCCAATATCTATGTAAGACGTAGACATAGAATGTTCAAGATCGATATCCTATAAACCATAAGGCATAAGCCAAATAATAACGGTATTTAGTTATTATTATTATATTGTACGCATACGAGTGGTAAGCACTCCAATAATCGACATAATATTTTATTTTTAATGTATCTTATCTTAAGATATTAGTAGGTAAGTATGCGTCAAGCAATACTATTGGAGACTACAAACGGATCTTACATTTTAGCTGCAGTTGACTGATGGTTGTTATACATATTCAGAATCACTTTGTCACTCAAACTTTTAATTTCAACTTTAAGTTTACCACTCCGACTGTTAGAATTGCAAGACGGAGCGCAATCATGTTGCGTTTTTTAATGGTAAAAATGTAAAACGGGCGCAATTGTGTTCCCCGGCACCAATGTTGCAACTATGTACCTACTTATTGGCGAGGATCAAGCATATTATTTATGAGGGCCGCAGTAAAAATATAATTTCTAAATAATCAGTTTTCAGGTAGGTTTCAAACATAGGTACAGTTAGTATTAGGTACAAATATTATAGTGTCAGCGGGTTAAATATTGATAATATATTTTATCTAAAATCAAACCGATCGATCTATATGTCTTAATGACCCTATATTGGAATATTTAGCACCTACAGCACTAAAACTGAATAGTAATTTTATGTGTATAACAATAAGCGAGACTCTCTTTTTTTGGACCACCTAAAACCGAATAGTATTATTTTGATAAACTTTGTGCGTTTTTACATATTATAAAGTTCAACAAGGCAAGTGGTTGAATCTTGAACGCTGTACATTTATACATTTATTTTTGATAAATAAAACTATTAAAATTATTGAAAGCAGAGCAACCGACAGCAGGATAGTTCATTAGCCTCCAAAATAACAAAAGGTTAAATTGCATTTTACTCCAAAAATTTTTTGGATTAAAATTATGTCCATTTCCCTTAAATGTTGTCAAATTATTAAAAAAATTCAACCAATATTTTTATAAAGAAAGCCCAAATATATTTATATGGATCAGTATTGTGAAACAAATTTAAACAGATATTTAAGCGGAGCCCTCTATATAATTAGAAGCTATCAAAATAGGTAAGTAATATTAACTCCTATCAGATTTTAAAATGATAATTAAAAAATTTTCATCTTAACATGGAAATGAAAACTAGTACCTAAGTAAATAATTTACATCTATTATGAAATAATTTAAATATAATAGGTATTAACTAAAGATTCTGAGCTCTCCAATAAATGTATTTTGTATACATTAAATATATTTTTATTATTTTTTATTTGTAGTAGAAATATTTCTATTATCATCTACATCGAAGAAGGTTTCTGGCAGGAAGTTGGATCTAGTTGGTAATCTAGAGAGGAGTAAAATTATAAAATATTGGTACTATTAAAAATAATTTAGAAAACTAACAAATTCATTACAAAGAATAACATGCATTTTTACGAAGCGGTAAAGCCAGATTTTAGAAAAATCTATCTTATTATTTTGTTCATTAGATATTTTTAAGTTATCCGTAAAGAATGGAAATTTATTACAAAAAAACGTAAATAATTCATAAAAATAAAAATAGTTTAAACTTTATTATCTTATTCAAATCTCAGAAATACGTAAACCTACTGGTTTTTTCTTGTAGACATTTAAAGTTTATTTATTTACGAAATATAGACCTCGTCATTGATTAGATCACTGTAATGTATGTGTTAAAAATAAATTCAATGGTAAATAATTGCATACAAAAAACGAATGTTAGCGCAGTCGCTTAGTAATATGTTAGCCATATAGCTAAGTATATTTCATGATAAGTATTATGCTTTTTGTTCTTGCAATTAAGTAATGTGTACTTCTATTAGTAATACGATAAATAGAATTAATTTTTTTTTAATTTTAAATTACAATTGAAATATCTTATTAGTTATTTTGTCTAAATTTGAACTGAAAATGTCTATAAAAAAAAATGATGCTTATAAACTTTCCGGATTTTTTGTTTTCGAAATAAAATAATTATGAGAAACTTTTTATCACATTTTCAAGCCTTTGCTAAAAGTATTAGAACTTCATAACTTTTAGAGATAAGATAATTGTATCAAATAAAAATTTTAAATGTTAGAGAATGAATTTTGAATTTTGTCAACATTTGAACTACAAAATAAATACAGAATAACTCAACAATTCAGAAGTCGGTGTCACGATGTCACACATCCATTAACCGCTCGACAAAGACGACGAAAAAAAAACTATATATATAATATATAGTCAGGTCGGCCACTCATGCCTTAAGGAATCCCAAGGTCGGAAATCTAACACACCATACATACGAAACAGTTTGAATAAGCCACTTGCACACATTTATAACACATTCCTGTTTAGAAAGTAGGAACACGAAAAATGCATTAGCAGTGAAACGATACGGTATAATGATATCATTATTTGCTAGGTAATATTATTTCATAAACATTCGTAAACGTCGAGCATAGTTTTATTCCAGTGACGGAACGTTCACTAAAAAAATGAATTCGTTCACGTTCACGTTCAGTCCTTAAACAAGGAACTAAGTCACATCCACATGTGTCAACATTCATGTTTTTTTCAAATGAACTCGTTCACGTTCATTAAAAAAATGAATACGTTCACAAGGTCGTTCATTTAATTTTTGTATTTTTTTATAATAGTAATTCTAATAAAAAATATTATTGTTATAATTTATTATATTCTATGATAAATATATTTTAAAAAAATATTTATTAAATGAAAAAAAAACTGATCTTCTTAAAATTGTTCAATTTTATTAAAATATGAACGCCGTTCACGTTCTCGTTCAATTTGAAAAAAAATTATTGACGTTTGCTTATTATTCACTAAGCATGAACGTGAACTTGTGAACGTGCGTTCGTGAACGACGTTCTTTCCCAACACTGGTTTATTCAGCAATTACTAGGTTCAAGATAAATATTTTTTATCGGAAAAAATGAATATATAATATATTAGGTATTATAATCAATTTGATAACGGGATGATATTAAATTGCACTCCGTCGTCGTTTTATTTAAACAACTATAGGTACTAATCTATAGACTGAGTCTTAAAATACCTATTAAGAACGTATATATTTCAATTTCTTATAAATACACATAGATTTTGTAGTTGTGACTGATTGTGCTAACATAGCCAAACAGATAACACGATATCCTAATTTTTAATTTTATTTACATCTCACGAGTCACACATTGACACAATCAAAATCTATACTTCATATAACATGCTTGACACAACTCATTTAATTTTAATCAACACACTACAACCTAATAATTTTAATTATTTTAAAAGTGATATAGTTTAATAGCATTGTATTTTAAATCATGCAATAGCCAATAATGCGAAACTGCAATACTTTAAGAGGCTGCTACCCACGAGTTTACCGTATCCACCTTACCAACATACGACATACCAAATTTTCGTTCACTAGTTTGAATAGTGTACCGTTAGTTTTGATATTAGAGTAAATTTAAGTATTATCAAACTTTTAGGTAAGAACTTTTTCCATTTTTATTTTCAAGCAGGATAGAAGTATGTGAAATAACACAAATCAAAAATGCTCATACCTCGCTTGAAAATTAAAATATCCAAAAATCCGCCGAAACGTTCTTACCTAAATATTTGATAATAGGTCAATTCACTCTAATATTAAAACTTACAGCACACTATTGAAAGTAATGAACTAAAATGTTCTATTGTCGTATGTTGTACGTGTGTAAGACGGAGACAACAAATGCATAGGCAGCGTCTTCTTAAATAGTATTAACTATACAATAATATTATGAATCAATAGCTGGATTTCTACACTAATGATATACATTTTTTTTCAAATATTTAATAACTTCCTGAATAGATTGAAGGGTAGAGAAAAATAACAATACATTATAATAACATATCATATTATTTATAATCAATGGTAGATATCACATAAGTATTAATATACGATCTACCAAATCAAGAAACATATAATCATATTGGGTTCGATAATCTACGCTGGTTACTTACAGCCGCTGCATTTGTTGTACGGAAGTTGTAATCACACATTACGTGAAAAGTTAGTTAAGTAATTGAATAATTCAATTGATAATAGTTTATGGCATTAAACATAAAGACAAACGGCTAAGTGCTATAGTGTGTGGCATTTGACTTGTGTGTAAGTATGGTGTATTTACTAAATTTATTTTTTATTCTGAAAATCGAATTTTTAAATACTCACATGAATTTACATATACGATATTCTCCGCTATTTGTGAAATTTTTTTTGTTATAATTATTTATGTCTTGTATTTGTTTCTTTTTCTTTAAATTATAAACCACGGCGTTTAACTATGAATAATAAATATTATTTTTCTATATTTTAATATTTATTATACAATTATTATATTATTATGATTTATTATTCATATATTTTGTTACAACTGATGTCTTTTTTGTTCCTTTTGTTACTAAACTTTAAACTTAACGGTTAAACAGTTTAACATCGACATTATTTTAATGTTTGATTTATTTATATATGTATATATTTGTCACGTCAGTACCAAAAATTTAACTTTCGATGGGGGTTGAAACTTGAAGTGATGGTTAATTACCATTTTTGGTCCATTGGGCAATACATTTATTTTTTTCCGACTAGTGGGTGGTAAATTAGAAATCCTCACTACGCAGTTGTCGAAAAGGCTACTGTCCAAAGCAAATTAATATACATGAATGAATCGATTCATTTTATCTCTTATATCAAATACTCGCTGGTAGATGAGTTACTCCGGTGTTGTTCTATATGAAGCAGTTTGGCAAATCTAGATACAAAGAACAGCAAGAGACGTCGGTGCGGCAATAATATCGCCCGCTTTTGAATAGGTAGTTCTTTTCCAGCTATTTCTACTGCCTTAGATTATTAGATACCTACTGAATTCTATTGTGATGGCTAGATGCCAATAACAAAATAAAATTGTATTCATAATTTGTTACACACATTTAGTAATGACAATAATATAATGAATCAAGTGAACCAAATCGCTTGTACAATTTTTTGGTTACAGTATAAACTACATGATATAAGAAACCTTATTTCAAATTTTCAATCCTTGTTTTAATTGAAAACATTTTGTATACACTTTTAAACTAAAATTATTTACAGATTTTTAAAATTTAGAGTACTGATTTTTAGTAGAAATCTTATTATTTTTTCTGGTGGTACTGGCGTTTTTAAAAACTTCTTAGAATTTTGTTAATAAGTATTGTAAATTAGTTTTATTTTTCCACCCGAAAATAATTAAAAATCAAACAATTATTTCAATTAGAAAAATATTTACAGACGAAAAAATAATTTTGTTGAGACCGCCCATTGCCACAAGCTTGAGATGATATAATATAAACACTAAACAGTATGTTTATTAATTGGGAAGTCTATAGCTTTATATCGTAATATAATGCAGGTATTGAAGTGCGATATTTTAAAAATAATGTATGATTTATAGCCTTCTTTTTACTATGGTCAATTATAGTTATTTCGACCAAATTGGATATTTAGGTATATATATATATATATATTTATAAATACATTTATACATATACCGGGATATATAATATGTCGCATCCACATAGTGAAACTACTCATTTCGTGAACTGGATATCCAGATAGTGAAATTCGTCCAGATAGTGAATTTTGACGAAAATTACAGCCGCTGCATTTGTTGTACGGAAGTTGTAATCACACATTACGTGAAAAGTTAGTTAAGTAATTGAATAATTCAATTGATAATAGTTTATGGCATTAAACATAAAGACAAACGGCTAAGTGCTATAGTGTGTGGCATTTGACTTGTGTGTAAGTATGGTGTATTTACTAAATTTATTTTTTATTCTGAAAATCGAATTTTTAAATACTCACATGAATTTACATATACGATATTCTCCGCTATTTGTGAAATTTTTTTTGTTATAATTATTTATGTCTTGTATTTGTTTCTTTTTCTTTAAATTATAAACCACGGCGTTTAACTATGAATAATAAATATTATTTTTCTATATTTTAATATTTATTATACAATTATTATATTATTATGATTTATTATTCATATATTTTGTTACAACTGATGTCTTTTTTGTTCCTTTTGTTACTAAACTTTAAACTTAACGGTTAAACAGTTTAACATCGACATTATTTTAATGTTTGATTTATTTATATATGTATATATTTGTCACGTCAGTACCAAAAATTTAACTTTCGATGGGGGTTGAAACTTGAAGTGATGGTTAATTACCATTTTTGGTCCATTGGGCAATACATTTATTTTTTTCCGACTAGTGGGTGGTAAATTAGAAATCCTCACTACGCAGTTGTCGAAAAGGCTACTGTCCAAAGCAAATTAATATACATGAATGAATCGATTCATTTTATCTCTTATATCAAATACTCGCTGGTAGATGAGTTACTCCGGTGTTGTTCTATATGAAGCAGTTTGGCAAATCTAGATACAAAGAACAGCAAGAGACGTCGGTGCGGCAATAATATCGCCCGCTTTTGAATAGGTAGTTCTTTTCCAGCTATTTCTACTGCCTTAGATTATTAGATACCTACTGAATTCTATTGTGATGGCTNCTTAATGTCTGAATTACTTTTAAATGACGGCAGTTCATTCCGCAATTTCGTTAGACTAACTAAATCTGATTTTGAAGAACTTCTCCGTTTGGTAGCTCCTAAGATCTCGAAAAAAAATACAAACTACCGTGCCGCTATTCCGCCATCAATAAGATTAGCGGTTACTTTGCGATATTTAGCCACAGGAGATTCGTTTACTAGTCTTATGTACCTGTTAAAGATATCGAAGCAATCAATTTCTACAATTGTACCTGAAGTATGCGAAGCAATCTTCGAAGTTCTAAAAGGATATTGTCAAGTAAGTAGATAATTAGAAACTAATAATAATAATAATTAATATAATAATTTAAAAAGTAATATATGTTTTTACATAGTTATTGTTTATTTAGAAAAAAGAAAAAACGAAACAAATTAATTTCTTGAAAAAAATATATGTACCAATACTACTTAAAAGTAGAATCTTTACTAATATTATTTTATCTAGAATTGGCCCTGCGGACAAGATATTCATTAAGTTCTGCAATGTCACTACTTTGTTGTGGAAAAGCAATTTGTGATTGAGGCTGTTGAGATTCTGGTGATTGCCAAATTATCTGTGTCTGAGTTTGCGGTTGATACTGCATTGGTGTTGATTGATTTTGCTGTTGTAGTGTATGGGAAGAATGCGTTGGCTGACTTTGCACAGATGACGGTGACGGATAGGGAGATGAGGGCTGTTGTAGTGTATAGGAAGAATGCATTGGCTGACTTGGCACAGATGACGGTGATGGGTAGGGAGATGAGGATGTTGTACACACTGATATCTGATAATCTGAAGAATGCGTAGGTGTTGCTTGCGAAGTATTCATTTCTGGATAGTATCTATTATTGATATTATATGGAAATTGATACAAATGTTGTCTTGCACCATATGTTTCCTCTTCAGATACCGAAAAAGCGCCCATTTCTAACTGGAAAAGTATATTATCTATGCGATTTTTGGCAATAGATATAGCTCGCATATTTTGATTCGCACCGCGAATTCTGTTGGCTACGTTTTCCCCATAAACTGAAAAATCATCTTTTACGTTCATATTTTCTTGTACACTTCGCATGAATTTATAGGCTTCATCCACTCTGACATCATTATTTGTTTTTCTTTTTAATTTATTTTTTACTTCTGATGAAGCTCGTCTTATAGGCGAAGATGTTGATGTATTGGCTATACAAGGATAACTTTCATGTGGAGTTTGAACTTCTTCACAGTGTTCGATGGATGAAATACTTAAGTCATCATCATCGTAGTTTTCAGTCTCTTTTTCTGAGTTTTCCTATTAAACATGATTTGTGTTAATATTAGATTCTAAGCGTAAAGATGGATTTATGTTTATTAATGGTTAGGTATATATACATATATGTATATATATATATTATACAGTTCATCAATCTTAAAAATCAAGGGTGGTTTCGGGTAGCAAAGTGAATTTATATTTTACTTGGGGAGGAGGGGGGGGCAAGAGTAAACATTTTTCAGTAGTTTTTAAATGCTTCGTTAAAAACAAAAAAAAATATTGAAAAACGGGATTTTTTACGCAAAACCAGTTTTTTGACAAAATTGAATTTTGAATTTGGCTGTTTCTAAAATATAAAAACTGTGGTTACTATATTGCATATATGCGCAATATATATAAGTATGATATTGTATTATTAATTTTGCAGATACCACGGTCGGAAGAAGGTTGGCGTGAAGTAGCAAATGGATTTTGCTTAAAATGGAATTTCCCTCATTGCATTGGTGCACTCGATGGGAAACATGTACAGATAGAAGCACCAGAGAACAGCGGAAGTGTATATTATAATTATCATGGCACATTTAGTATCGTGTTGATGGCTATAGCAGATGCTGACTATCGTATTATTTATGCCGATGTGGGATGCCAGGGCAGAATTTCTGACGGTGGTGTTTTTGCAAATACAACATTTTATAATAAACTTATAAACAATGAGTTAAAACTTCCAAAACCGACATGCTTATCAGAGAAAATTCAAAGCCAAGTTACTCCTTTCGTATTGGTAGCAGATGATGCATTTTCATTAAACACAAACCTTATGAAGCCCTTCCCAGGTCCATATCCAAAAGGTTCCCAAGAAAGAGCGTTTAACTATCGATTAAGTAGAGCTCGACGGATTATTGAGAATGTGTTTGGTTTGCTGGCGACTGTTTTCCGAGTATTTAGAAAGCCTATTCCATTACACCCAAAGAAAGTTGAAAGTGTAGTACTTGCTTGCATTTCTCTACATAACTTTTTAAGACGAAATGCACAGTCAGTACGGATGTACACACCACCTGGCACATTTGATAGTGAAGATTTAGATACTGGTTCAATAACACCTGGATCATGGAGAGCAGAAACTGAGGGAAGTTTACTTGATTTACAGCGCATCCCAAGAAATGCTTCTCAAGAAGCTAAAGAAATCAGAAAAGAATTCGCCAAATATTTTATTTCAGAAGAAGGAAAAGTACCGTGGCAAGATAGATTTGCATAAATTTTCTGGGCTATGATAATTATTGTAGTTAATGGTTTCTTATTACATTGTCAATTTAATCAAATATAGTTTTTATTATTTTTATATTGTTAATCTTATTTAATTGACTAATAAATTTTAAAATTTAACACTATAAGGTAAAAAATATAGTCTTTGTTGTTTAAAAAATTATTTTGCTAACAATAAAAATATTTCATAATATTTATAATAAATTATTTTTATATTAGTGTTATTTCTTATTTTATTTGTATCACGATGGGTGATTATGCGATAATAATAACAACCGTCGTATGACGTACACAATACACATGATTACATGAACAAACCACAAATGGTTGCTTATAGGTTTATAATTATTTTAAGTTATTTATAGTTATGTCTCAATATTACGATAACGACATCGACAAAAATACGCAATATAGACATTTTTGATGGCAATAATTTTTAAGTTTACAATAATACAATTTAGTTTATTTATTATAAATAAATAAATTATAATATAAATAGTATTTATTGATTTAGTAAGTAAGTAAAATAAATTCAATTTTAAACTACTACTTCACTATTTTTTAACTACTAGATACCTACCTCAAATGTACTGCGACTGCCTTTAGAAATGTTATTTTCCACGAGAAACTTCATCATATTATACCCAAACCATATATTATCTTCCGAAATTGTAGCAGCTCCACTTTTACTTTTTTCTCCAATTTTCTTCCGTTCGCGGCTAAACTGAGTTTTTAGGGATTTAATTTTCCTTGATACTTCATCCACATTTGTTTTGAAGTGAGATGCTATTTTGGACGTTTCATCAAACTTCAAGTTTCTATCCCGATATTCTTTGGATTGTATGTCCCACAAGGCAGGGGCAGCTTTCAGCATTTCAATGAGTTCTATTACGAGCTCTTTTGACCACAACATTTTTATGCAAAAAATTAAAAAGTACAACTAAACTAACTTAATAACGATATGTGAACGTGTGTACAAATCAATGACAGTAATTGTTGACAACATCGTCCATACTGAGCGATGTTTTCCATTTCGATTGGAAAACTCAGATACTAGCAACACGCAACAAATCTCTTTGATGTCATGCCGCCCAACATTGACGTGTATCCGTCAACTTTTAACCAGTTGCTGAGATACATGTTGACAACACTGTTGACAACGTGTTGCCAACAAAATGTTGCTTGGTCTGTACGGACCTT